ACCTAATACAATCAAGATATTTCAAACCTTTATTATTATAAGCAGCTGCATAATTTGGATCTAGTTTCGATTGCTTTATCATCGTAAACAATCGTATGGTTATATTTGTTAAGATTCTTTAAAGCAATACCTAATACAATCAAGATATTTAAAACATTTATTATAATAAGCAGCTGCATAATTTCGATTTAGTTCGATTGCTTTATCATAGCAAACTATTGCATCGTTATATTTTTAAAGACTTTGTGTTAAAGAATTTCCTAAAATTAAAAACAAATAATATTACCTTTACAAAAGTATTCAATAATATACTTTCGATTATATTGCAAAGCTCCACCAATACACAAAATAGCTTATGAATGTAGTTTCAAATCATTTAAAGAAAAGTCTATTTTGTGATATAATTGATTACTTTTTCTATACAAAGTGTGAAGATGTTAAGGATCCTCTTCTAAGACCTTATCACATTACTCAACAGCCCACCGAAATTATTTTTCTTCATTTAATGCATTGCCTAAGTAAATTAAATATTTCAATTTCTTTTTGCAATTAAAATAATCGTATTTTATTGGGTTTTCCTTAATTCTTGATCTGAATAATCTAATAGATCTAATCCCTCATAATTATTCCTTATCCTGGTTAGTTCATTTCAATTATATAAGCATAGAATAATCTAATTGATAACCAAATGCCTAATTAAATAAAATTGAATCAAATTACTTTTAAACAATGTTGCCAAAGATAATTATTTTTCTGATAATTTTATAGATTAAGTAATTTTTTCACTAGCCTCTTGACATTTCTATTGATTTAGTAATTATACTCCTAATTTTATTATAAACCAACAGAATACCTTAGTAAAGTGCATTTTCATTATCTTGCTTAATATCTAAAAGTTATTATTATCCTTAAATTAAATCCAATGCCTAAATCATTTGTTTTATTCTAACTAATTAAGTTCCTATAAATATTACTTGCATAAAATTTACCAATTTAATTATTCTTCAAAATCTCCTCTTATATGTTTAAATATTGATACCATTCTTTTATCACTTATAAATTACCTTTCATTTATTAATAATCTTATTGACTTAAACATTCAGATATCTTAACTAGTTATGATTTCATATCCTCCAAATATTTTGAGAATTCTTCATATTTTATTTTGACTTATGCAAATGATTTATTCAATTATGTTGCTAATTTTAGTGTATTCTAATTGGATTTTGCTATATAACTTTAGATTTAACTAAATCCTTTTAGATCTCTCTTGCAATTAGAATGCTTCTTAGTATCAAATCCACATTATAGACAGAATTAAGGTCTTGAATCTTAACATCCCAAATTTAAACAAAATCCTTATATAGGTTCTCCTTCATGTG